GGGGGCTGCAGGAATCCCTGGGGGAGAGGCCGGGTGGGCGGGGCAAGGCCCAGAAGGTTCTGAAGACCAATGAGGCCAGTGAGATATTAGAGGTCTTTGGGGGCTTCTGTGAGGGATTCTTCTTGCAAAGAGGTGGGCAGGGTTTGAGAAGGTGCCCCCTAGGGGTGTCTGGGTGGCTCAGTCAGTTAAGCGTCAGACTTCAGCTCAGGCCATGATCTCACAGTTCATGGGTTCGAGCTCCATGTCCGGCTCCATGCTGACAGCTAGCTCTGAGCCTGTAGCCTGTTCAGATTCTGTGTCTCCCCCTCTCTCTGACCCTCCCCTGCTCACACTGTCTCTCTCTCTCAGAAATAAATTTTAAAAAATTAAAAAAAGAAGAAGGTAGCCCCTTGTTTTTGGCTTGAGTGCTAGTTATGCATATATGATGGCTGGAGTGGAGGCAGCCACACTGCAACCGTCAAGGAGTGACACCGTTATTCTGTTAACAGTAAGTAGAGTAGAGAGGCGGGCAGCACCTGAGTCTCTGATGACGTTGTGAGCCAGCAGACTGCCTCTGGACTTCCCGTTTCTCACACGGTGGCTGCCTTAGCAGTTTAGCCTTTCTTGTAGGGTTTTCTGTCACTTGAGCCAAACATCTCCAATTGATACAGCCTTCTAGTGTCAGTTAAAATGTCTCTGTTCTTACCTAGTCCCCAGCCGACTTGGATCTCTGCCCTTGTCCCTCCACTCAGCACCCATGAGAGCAGATTGTGACTGTGGTGCTCTGTCTGTCTGGTTGGCCCATTCATGTTTGGTCTGTGAACACCTCAGGGCCAGGCCTCTGCCTTCTCCTTTCTGGGAGACCTGAGGCTGCACGCACTGGGCCTTCAGGTCACCGCAGGGACCTTACCACACCCTCCCCTCCCCGAGTCAGAGCCTCTGGCCATCATGAAGCCTTCTAATTCACTTTGGCCCAAGCACTGCTTCTGTGCCCCAAGGGCTTCTACAGCCTCTTCAGTGTAAAGTGTGAGGTCTTGTCTACATAGAGCTTCCTAGCCATCAGCTCTTGCCTCGTGCGTGTCTTCCAGCGCTAAGCTATTAATTTCTTGCCAGCTCGGCCTCTCTTGCAGCAGGTCCGGGAGGCCACAGTGCAGACAAAGGAGTGCATGATTGAGACGTGGAAAAAGCAGTGATGCGTACATCTCATTCCAAACCGAGTGAGATTCTCAGCATGTTCTGGAAAAGTCCTGGGGTGTGCAAGTAGGGCATAATGTTCCCCCAGGCATGGTGGAGGGGTGAAGGCTCGTGGCCTCCCTGTAGCAGCTCCCATGCCGGCTGTGAATGGGGGACTGTCCTGTGGTCACACGAGCAGAACTCTGCCAAGGAAAGCAAGGGAGAGAGGGATTCTGGTCCTCAGGGAGCCTGGAAGGTGTAGCAGTGCTGGAGAAGCAAGGCCCTCTGCCTGCCTTCAGTGCAAATTGCTTCTGTGAGTCTTGTAATGCCCACATGATGGTTACGAAGCCTCAGGCCCCCACAGTATGCCAGGCGTGGGGCCGGGTGCCCTGACACATGGACAGACCACACCACGAGGGTGCCTAGGCTGCACACAGCAGAATCTGGGCTTGCAATCCGGCTCCACACTTCCAGACTACAGCCCTGTCACCTCCCTTCTCTGAGCCTCCTTCGTGTCCCCTAAAGTGGGGTCATCAGTTGCTATCTTCACAGGGTCAGTCCCATGAGGAATAATTGGGTAATGTGAGTGGCCCAGCCAGGCCCCCAGCAGATACAGTTTGAATCCATTTGGATCTCCAGGATATTTTGGAGTTTTGCAGTGTTATCTAAAAGTCTTCTTTGCCGCTAGCCTAAATCCATACTGTCACATTCCAGGATGCTCCATTTAGACAACTGCAGGGAGCAATTGGAAGTGAGGTTGTATTTGTTTTTGTTTTTGATAGCCAGTGAGAGACAGAAAACCCAGAGTGGCCTAAAGAAGCAATCAAACGACCTCTTGGCTTTGCTTACTTTCCTCTGTGCTGGTGTCATACTCAGATGGCTTTTCTGTTAGGAAACCAAGACGGCCACCAACTGTCACAGTGTCAGTGTCAGAGGAAAAGAAGCTCTCATTCTCTATGATTCCAGCCCTAAGGTCTGGACCCACTGGGACCTGACTGGCATATACCCAGTCCTGAGGCACACACTGTGGCCAGGGAGGATGGAATACGCTGATTGGCCAGATTGAAGTCGCATGACCACCCTCCCTAAGGAAACTCCTCCTCAACTGTTCAACCTACTCTCCTGGGTGGGAGATTGTGGGAAGCCTGAGAGCACAGAGGTGAGTGTCCAGTGGCTGTGTTCCTCTGTGCTTACTGTCCTGGGCCGTATCTGCTCTTCTCCTCTTCCTGCACCCCTCTGTCTTCCTGGCAGCACTTCTTCCCTTCCCCCACTGCTTCCTTCCATACCATTTCACCCAAACCCCAAAGGAACAAGACTTCCTGTTTGAATTCAGGATCCGGGGACCATGCCCAGCTTCCAGATTTGTGTTTTGGCGTCCCAGTATAATCATTTATACAGTCAGCCAGCATCCATGGAGTACCTACTGTGTGCCACTGTGAGTTTTCAGGGCCTAATTATTCCGGGTTTCTAGGGGTAAAACCCAGGATCCTTCCAAGGAAATGGGTTTTGTCTGAGCAAGCATCTAGAGGCTAGCTTCCAGTCCCTCGGTGCCACTCACTGTGTGGCCCTGAGGGAATTCTTTCCCTTCTCTGGACTTGTGATTTCTTATCTGCAAAGTGAGGCCCTGGGAGCGCTGAGACCCTGGCGCCCTCTGGGCTCTGGCGCACTGTGGCTGGGGCTGAGAACGAGCCTCCGTGGCTGTGAGGCAGCCTGTGAGCACCACGGACAGCGACCACCCCGCTCCCTGGGCGGCCGGGGGCAGCGCCCTGGTCGCTGTCCATGGTGTCCGAGCCGAGTCCACGAGCAGATAATTCTGTGTCTGAATGTTCCTCTTGGCGAATGAGAACACCCAGGGCAGAGGGGCACCTGCGGCTTTCTGAGCCCGTGTGGTCCCCACGGCTCTACGTGCCTGTAAGGCTGCCTACTGCTGCTGCGACAGAAATTCTCTTTTGAGGTGTTTGTGAATCCCAAGCCCTCCCACCACTGGAAGTCAAGCCTGGAACTCTGGAAAGGAAGCATAGGGAGGGAGGCCACACGGAGGAGAGGAGAGGACGCTCTCTATAGAGGCTGATATGTGTCCATGGAGCCCAGCCTTCCTCTGCCTCCCCGTCCCTCCCTTCTTCTCCCACCCACTCCCCTTTCTCTGTTATCGCTGACATTGGTCATGGCTCCCTGGAAGAAGAAAGATACCTGATGTGTCGGTCGGGGGGCGAGGGGCCCTTTTCAGGCATGCCTAGTGGGGAGGACTTTCTTTTCCTTCTGGTTGAGTCTAGTTTCTCTTCACTCTTTGAACCCTTGGAGACATGAATTAATTCCCTGGTCTCTCTGTCACTCAATCTGTCAGTTCACTCAGCTGCTCACCATTCTATGAATCCATTTGTTCCCTTCTTTATGTAGCTCAGGATGTCTTTTTAAGCAAGAAGGGAGATTTGTTAGGAGAACACAGAGAGCACAAGGACAAGCAGAGACTAGAGTAGCTGGTCTTCCCCGAAGACGGGAGCCA